TAGTTTTGCAAAGGATAGCCTCCCATACTGGGTTCCACTTTCCCTTTTTCACGCTGCATTTGAGCAGCTTGCACATTTGTTGAAGCATTAGCCATGAAGTCTGTGGTTTCCTGTGGCACATTTCTAATAATATTTATACAGGCTGTTATTTAATGAACCGTATAAATATTTATCATAAGAGTAGTCTTTTGATCATGGATAGGGGCCAAAAATCAGACCAGTCCATGCTGGGGACTTGGCCAGAAGGCTGTTGCTGTCCTATGAAACATCTTGTAGACTGAGAAGTTAGGTGTGTCTCAGAACTTGTGTGCAGCCCAACTTGAGTTTCTTTCTATGATTTTCTTTCTTTGGCCTCCACAGTCCATGTCCATTTTCCTCTCTGCCTGATAACCCATACTCCCCATATCCCTAACAGTTGTTTTTCTTGTTAGATCATTCATCTTTGTCTAAAAAGAATGAGATGGAACCAAAGTTCTGATTCTTCACAAGCCATACTTCGGGGTTTAGAGCCACACTGACTTGGCCTTGAATCTCAGCGGCTCTGGTTCTCTGCTCTGGGACTTAGACAGCTTTATCACTGAGAACCTCAATGTCCCTAACTGGAAAATGGGCTCACACTGCCTACCTCACAGGGTTGTTACCAGGATTAAATAGAATGTCCAATCATGTAATTTTGCAGAGCAGGGCTTAATAAATGCTAATGGTTGCTACATTCGTTGTTGATACTGTTATTGAAGAAGCTACCAAAGGATTTGGTTTTCAGTTTTAGGTTGGTGCTGTGGAAGGAGCCCTAAACTTAGAGTAAGAGGCTGAGATTCAAATCCAGGCGCTGCTGTTCACTGTCTGGGCGATGGGGGTGAATTTCCCCATCCTGTGGAGTATCAAATGGTGCTAGGTTTACCAACTTGATTGGGTTCCAGGCCGAAGAGATTAACACACGTGTGACAGTGACAGACAGGAAGATCCTAATCCTTTTCTTTTAAACATTAGAAAATGGAATAATGTTTTCCATTTTGCAGTTTCTTTATTGTTTTGAGGCCATGAGGAACTGAAATATAGCTTAGAGTCTGAGACACAGCAGATAGCACTTATGACCCAGAAACAAAAGGCACAGGGTGGGAAGACAAAGAATCTGAGTTGCAGCAAACCCTCTGTCAGGGTTTTTAAAACTCTCAGGATTGAGTTTCAGGGAGGCGGCCCAAGGCTTGAACTTCTCTGCACCGCTGCTTTCAGGGTCCAGGTGTGGAAACAATCGTAAAGAGATCACTTTGAAACTCTAATAATGAGAAACATGGTGAGTCTGGAATATTTAATTAGGATCTATTTCTTAGCAAAATATGAACTGGGATGTATGTGTGAATGATGCTGGGAGGTATGATGCCCTTGTCTCCATGGGTCTGACTCTCTTCCTGACTGATGCCTGGGTATATGGTTAGATGGTCTAGAAACGGGGGGTTTGCCAGAGACAGGCAGCCTGGTGTTGGGAAGGGTCAGTCTCTGAAGCCAGACAGTCTGGGTTCTGAGTTAGCTAATATTAGACAGAGTAGGTAATGACACCTAGCAGAGTCCTCAGCAAATAGGCATTGAGTAAATGACGGGCCTATCAGGCTGTATAGCATCCTGGCAGTGGTGAGGGACTTTGGAGACAGAGGGAAGGGGATTGCTCTCAGCTCTGTTACTTGCTGGCTATATGACATACTAGATCAAGTTACTTTAGGTTTTTAAACTATCCACTGAGTCACAAAGCTTGTCAAGGTTCTGCCATGTGTCAGGCACTGGGCTGGCCCTGTGTGTAGTAGCTGTGATGCAGGCAGGAGTGGGCTTGTTTAACGGTAAAGCCCCATTCTCCATACAGGGTGGAGGCTCTCCTGAAGAGTAAACTCTGTCCTGTTTAGCAAAACTATGGGTCCAAAACAAAAAACTGGGGTAAGCCCTGGGTTAGCTGCAAGGTGGAAATCTGCCTCTTTCGATTTTACTGGAAATAAATCAGGATGTCTGGTTAGTAAGATGATATACTCCCCAGAGGAAGACAGAGAGTAAACGTGAGCCGTCCAGGTATGAGGAGCTGGGCCAGCCCCATGGAGGAATCTCCGTTGTCGCTGGGGTTAGTAGGAGGAGAGAGAAGCATGGATGCTGGCTGGCTGGGTCTGTGTGAGCCAGAATGCTTGCATAGATTATTCATTTCCTATTATTTCTTCATTTCTCCCTGAAGTGTCTAGAATAGTCTTGGAAAGTCTAGGCAAGGGCAGAGAGTTGTTGGCTTCCAAAGATGAATGTTAGGGAGTCGCACCCTGAGATGTCCTTTTGCAGTGGGAGGCTGAGAGGGAGTCCCAAGAAAAGTCCTATGTGTGTGGTCAGTAGGTGGGAGGTGGGGTAGCTAGCTTGGTTATTCTTCCTCCTGTTTGCAGATAAAGAAACAGGAAGCCCTGAGCCAAGCAAGGTACTGTCCTATTTTGTCCTTCACTGTATCCTCAGCTCTCAGCTGGCTGCCTGGTGCCTGGCAGCACAATCCACATTTTTTCGAGTATCAGCCATGGATTGCAAGACACATCATTATTTCATACACCACTAAGAAAGCAAGAAAACACTGTCAATTAATTGTAAGAGGCCATTGATTCACTGATTTTGGAGAAGCTAAATGTGAAAAAAAAAACAATTGTCTTAGAATTAATAAAATGAGGTTATAAGCATCTGATAAATATTTAATTGGATGAATGCAGCAGAAATTAGAATCAAAGCAAAACAGTGCACATAAGTACAGATTTAGGAATATAAACTATTAAAGCGTGAACCTGTTCATCCTTGTTTTCCGTTGACTTCACTGATACAGTTGCTCATTTAGTCGACATCTATTGAAAACCAATCACGCACCAGACATTGTGCTAGGACCAGGGGATGCAGAAATCAGTAATTTCATTTTTTCAAGTCAGACCAGTAAGGGAGACAGACATGGAAATGAAAAAAAAATTACCATTCAAAGTGGCAAATTTTAAAAGAAAAGTAGGGACATGATACTCTGGTGGCATCAAGAGACAAAGGCAAGGAAATCCTCCCTGAAGAGGTGGTGGCTGAGCTGGATCTTAAAATGTTAAGTCCTCAGCTACCAGGCACACGAAGGAGGAAGGATTAGGATGGAAGGGCAAGTGCAAGGTAGTGAGGTCCTGGGGCAACGTGATGCACTTGAGAACCCTTGAGGGGTCCTGGGATGTCCGGAAGTTCGTGTGAGAAGAGGCAGGACTGTGTTGGACGCAGCTGCACAGCAGGCAGATGGAGCTCAGGCGGGGCTGGGGCTGTATCACTGCCCTGAGCCAGTGGTTTCCCCTTCCTGAATCCTGGGAAAGACCCTGTGAGGACTTCTGTGGTGAGGGGTGGATGGTAGGGCAAGGGTGATCCCTGCTTCAGACAGAGCTGCTCTGCTTTATCTGTTGGACTGAAATTTTCCCTGGGTAATGGCTTCAAGGAAAGGTACTACTAGTGATTGAATGAAGGGGCCTGCCTAGTCTGAGAGCTGGTGCTGTTGGTCACGTGGAGCTTCAGAAGTGTTGTAAGCCGGGGAGAGGAGATGAGAAACACCTGGGCTGGAGCCTGCGAGTCGTTCCCTGAGGCTCGGATGAATGCAGCAAATGGTCTTGCTACAGCTTCCCCATTCTCCTCTCCACCTGCCAGTGAGCCAGCAAGCCAAGGGGGGCAAACACGGTTGGGAAATCATTGTGATTAAGTCAGAAGCAATCACTTGGAATGAAGCTGTTTTTCACTGGGATAAATACCCAGGCAGCAGTAACTGAACATCTGCTGGCTGACTTCGTGTTAGAATACCCAAGTGTGACTCTGCCAAGGGACCATGACTTTTTGATGTGAAAGGGCACAGAAAGCCACTGTGGTTGAGATTTAGACTCTGGATGTTGAGATAGCCCCGAGCTCACCTGGGGAGCTGTAGCCTGTTCGCCAGCGTGGCTGTCTGGGGGGGCTTCTTCTTACTCTTTGAAAGGCCAGGCTGAAATGAGAGCCTCTGTGAGACCTCTGTGTCCTGTGGGCCAGTCTCACCAGGCGGACTTAGAGTGCCAGTGAAGGCCAAGGAATTTCTGAGTGTTCTCTGGTCAGATTTCCTTGTCACTCACAAGGAAAACAGATTGTCTAACAAATTCCTGATCGGTCTCGCTCAAGGCTACTTCCCAGTTTTCAGTCACTTCATGACATGGCTGCAATGTATTTATTTCTACAAACCTGTACCTCAAGCTCTCAAGAAAGGCAGGGAGAAGCACAAGTCTTCTTGTGTGGGGCTGAGGGGCCAGGCTGCTCCTGAGTGATTCTGGCTGGACCTCCTAACTTCTTAGACACCTGTTTCCCCATCAGGATAATGTGTATCATTATAATAATGTGCATTTGCTCTTCTCAAGAGCGTGGCCCTACCATGAAGGGGAAGCATGTTTCTCTGGCAGTCTCACCTTGATCACCTGTGAAATAGAGATTTAAATTTAGTCATCTTCTAGAGTCATACTGAGGAGTAGAGGGGATGTGTGTATTTTTCATAGTGCTTGGCACTTAATAGGTGCTCAGTAGATAATTTTTGAGCAAATGACTCACTGGGTGGTTGAGATACCTTTTCAGTACCATAGTCACTGTCCTTGTTTTGATTCAAATTCAGTGAGAATAAATTCCTTTCTGTTGCCCCTGGATTCTTAGTTCCTCAGCCTTTTATTTATCCTGAGAGCACTTTTCACCTGATAGCATGACTTTGCCTAAATATCCATGCAGTTCCTAAGTACTTCACATCTGACTTCCTTCTAAGAATGGAAACTCCATGTCTAAAGGTGATGCGTATCTTGTTCACCCACTGCCTAGCTCAGTGTTGTTCACGTATCATTAAAATTCAACATTTTGGTTGGGTGAATAAATAATAAATGGTCACCGGTTAGTTAGCTGTCCCCCTTTTATCTTGACTTTCAAGATGTCTTGTGCCCACTTGGTATTCATGTGGTTTTTGCCCTTGATCACTGCAGGTGGAGGGACCGCAATGCCTGGTGGAGATCAGGAACCAGCGAGCTACTACGTGGGTGTAGATGTTGGAACAGGCAGCGTCCGCGCAGCTCTGGTGGACCAGAGGGGCGTCCTTCTGGCTTTTGCAGACCAGCCAATTAACAAGTGGGAACCTCAGTTCAACCACCATGAACAGTCATCTGAGGACATTTGGGCCGCGTGCTGTGTCGTCACAAAGGTATGGCCACAGCTGTGGCATTCTCTCCTTGCACACATGCCCCTGCTCCCACCTGCTGAGTATTTGTCACATGTCCACCTGGTTCCAGGGACAACGGTGGGGTATCTTTAGTCACAGGCCTCGATTTCAGGAGCTCCCAGTGTAGTGGTAGAGACCAATAGTCAGCTAAAATATGATGAGACAGGTGCTGGGAGCAGAGCGACTATGGCCAGAGCTGAGGAAAGGGCTAACTGAGGAGCTCAGGGTAGACAGGACAGAGGATGCAAGCATTCAGCCAGAGGGTTTGGTCACATGTGAATGTGGAAGAGGTCATTGATAATCACAGCTCATGTCTACCGAGCCTTCATGTGTGCCCAGTGCTGTGAAAAATGTGTTATTGTGCAGCACGCAGCTGAATCTTTACATCCACCCTATACAGGTAGTATTGTTACTACCCCTATTTTATTGAGGAGGAAACAGGTGCAGAAAGCTAACTCACCCATGTTCATGCAGCTAGCAAGTAGTAGAGGCAGGACTGACTCAGGCCTGTGCTCTCAGTCAGTGGACTGTCCTGCCTTCCACGTGCACAAGTGAGGGGAGCCTCATTTGATTCAGCAGGAACAGCTTGTGCAAGGGCATGGTTGAGTGAAAACAAGGTGTGTTTTGAGAAAGCAAGGGAGTTGGGCAAGACTAGAACATCTCTGATTTGTGCCAGGCAGATGTGCATCCTGAGTGGCCTTGGACTGGAATCAACCTGCTGGCCTGGAAAAGGAAGTGATGCTGGGCAAGACACATTCATTTTTAGTTGCACTTGACTGGTTTTACATCCTGGGGATCAGGAATGACAGAGATACATTTGTCCTTTTTTCCAGGAGGAAAAATAAAGTCCTGGGTTCTCTCTTCTCCCTGTTCCTACTTTAGTTCCTTAAATATTCATGAAGGGCTTGGTAATTTGCAGATGGACAATTCGCCATTCTGTCTGTATTGATCAGTCTGTTTAAACTTTAATGAGTCCTGGGCTGCTGTTAGTGCCCCCAGAGAAGAAGGCAGAGAGAGGAGGTGGGGTGGGCAGCACTAGAGCATTATATGGGAATAAAAGAGAGGGCACATCTTCTCTTCTGCCTGTTTAATTTTCCTCCTCTCTCCCTGCCTCAGCCCCCGCCTTGGTGAGAATCTTCTACTCTTTGCCCTTGGGTCTCCTTTGTTCTTCTAACATATATCCCTTCTTGCCATTAAGGAAATTGTCAAGAAGAAAATATAATCCCCTGATGAAAAGCTACTTTAAAAACGGTCTGCTCTAAGTACTGCTTGGTTTAATGGTAGATTTTTAATCATCTCCCAGTGGCAGCCAACTCATCTATTTGAGCCCCATGTACCTCTGGAGTGCTGTGGGCATTTGTACTCAGCAAGGCTGGCTCACCATAGCAAACTCGGGTCCAGCTCTTGGGTCTTAGGCTGTTCCCCTCCCAGGGAGTATGACTGTGTGGCTGTGTACCGAGAGCATGGGATAAGCGTGGTGCATTACCTGCAGCTCATGGCCTGCTGTGAGGTTAGAGGAGGGAAGCATTTTATGTTAGTGAGGTAGCTCCCCAGAGAGCATATTCTGGAGCCAGACTGCCTGGATTGACATCCCAGTTCCAGAGTTTATTAGCTTGGCATGTGGGGCAAGGTACTGAGGGTTTCTTGCCTGAGTTTCCTCATCTGTCAAATGGGAATGATAGTGAGGACGCAGTGGGTTGATGCATGTAAAATCTTACAATGGCCTGGAAATGAGTATACGCTGGGTTTCTTGTGGGGAGGAGGGTGATGGCACCAATGGAAGTGAGTAGTTTTTGGAGGAGAATGAATTTCTAAGATAGAAATGCTGAGAAGTCAGTCATTTGTAGAGGCACCTCCAGGGAGTATTCTGTTCACTCATGCCCTTTCTGGTTAGGGTTCTTTCTGTGTAGTTCTGGACAAGCACTGGCTTAGGGCAAAGGCTGACAAAAGTCCTGACCTGCCTTTTCTTTCTCATGGACTTCAGAAAGCTGAGGGCTTGAGAGCAGTTGTACAACTTCCTTTTCCTTAAACTATTCACATTGCCTGAGGTGATTTTCCTTTTAGTCAAGTTAATAAAAATAATAGCAATAACAATATGATGATGGTGATGAGGATAATGGCAGCTAACATTTCTTAGGCACTAATTATGTTCTGGGTATCATGCTGAACACTTTATGCCCATGACTTCATTTCATCCACACAACACAGCCTCTTGATGTTGTCTTTATTATTCTCTGTTTGGAGCTGGAAGATAGGAGCTTTGAAGAGGTTGAGCAACCAGTCCAAGGACACATGGCTGATACAAGGAGTTGGGCTGCTGCAGCCGTCAGCCCCCTCCTCATGCTTGCCTTTTGCCCCTCTTCCCAGCCTCATCTCACTCCATGTGCCCCCTGCTTGGAAATTGTATTAAGGTACCTGGTGTTTTTTGAATTTGCCACTGTGTGGGAACCTTGAGCTTCTCCTTATTGTTAAACCGGCCATACTAGATTACAAGTGCCTTTACCTGGCTATCTACTTATGAATTTGTGCCCTGGATCAAGGGTCTAGAGTTCTTCTCCTGGTAGTATGCCCAATTCATGTTTGTTGAGTACCTGAATGTATGAAATGTCTGTTGTTTTCATTACCTGGAGTGTTTTTCTCTCACCTTTACCTGCCCAACTCCTGGGCACCTTATGGATAAGCTTAAGCATTAAGCATTATATACATTGGAATGTGTGGAGGAGAGGTACACAGAATTCTGTGCCCTAAGGATGAAGTAGTTGAGTTGCATGGAAAAAAACAACACCTATGAAGCCAATGAAGTAGGATTTTATTCTAAGTTAGCTAGCTTTATGAGTAATGGTTGGAGGGAGAGGAAGCTGAAGAGGGAGTAGACCACATGGGATTGAGCAATACTGTTAATCTCTTGCATTCATAGAGCCTGTATGGTTCACACAGCACGTTCATATTCATTTGATTGTCATAAGAAGTAGAGAGGTGGGGAGTTGTTATTCCCATTTTATAGTTGAAAAGACAACAGACATCTGGAGAGTTAATGTCTTTCTCTATCACCCATGAAGTAGGTGATAAGCCTGAATTCAGAGAGGTCAGATCTCTGTATTCTCTCCATCTCCAATGCCACATACTTCATCTTTTGTGTAAATTACTACAACAACCTAACTGATCTCCTCATAGACACCTTTCCCTCTCCAGTCTATTCTCCTCCTTGGCACTGGAATTAATTTGTTTGCAGTGCTAACATGGTCATGTCACTCTTTTGCTTACAACTCAATAGCAACATGCTACTGTTTGGGAAGACCTCAAAATCCTTAACACAGTCTTCAGGCCCTGCATGGTTTGGTTCCAGCCTGCTTTCCTGGCTCAGCTCATGGTGCTTCTCTCTACAGTCCAAGCACACCCTCCTGTCGTGTTCTGGCACTTGAAATGTCCCCTCTAGCCTCAGGACTTTTATACACATTCTTTCTTCCTGCATACACTTCCTGCTTTCTGACAAAATATTTAACTCCTGTTCATCCTTAGACCCATAGTATCTAATACAGTAGTCACTAGCTGCATGTGGCTACTTAAATTTAGGTTAATTAAAATTAAATATAATTAAAAATTCAGTTCCTCAGTCTTACTGGCCACTTTTCAAGTGCTCAGTAGCCACGTGTGGCTGCTGGCCACTGTATTGGGCAGGACAGGCAGAGAACATTTCCACCCGCAGAAAGTTCCACTGGGTGGTGCTGTACTGAATCTTAGTTCAAAAGTCAGTTCCTCAAGGGAGAAGCCTTTTCTGGCCTCATAGCTCCTCCAAAGTAAGTCCCATTTTACCTCCTAAATGTTTTCACAGTATCTTGTACTTTTCCTTCATAGAACTTCTCATGGCTTGTAAGTCATTCATTTTTTTGATTAACAGTAATCAAATAAGCAATAATGAATCACTATATAATAAATAATAAAATAACAAAATAAATGAAATTAAATAAATAATGAAAACATTCTTTTTTTGGATCAATATCTACCTTCCCAACTAGATTTTATGTTTCAAGAGGGTAGGAACTGTAGTTTGCTCACCAAGATCCTAACATGCAGTAGATTCAGGAAGTGTAAAAAGAATGTATGATTAAAAAAATTAGGATATCTCTATTTCCAGTCAGTGGAGAAAGTCTGAGGAAGAATGTTGGGCTGAAAGTCACTTTTGAGAATTCTAGGAGGGGACATTTGAGAACTGGAGGAAGAGCATGGGCAGGAGCACTGAAATGGGAACGTTAAAGAGGTGGCCCTGGCTGTAGTGTGTGGTTTCCAATAGGAGAAGAGGGACACTGGAACTGATGGGGCATACCTGGAATAGCCAGTTCCGAACTGTCAATGGGGAGCTCTTCTAGAATCATCCTGAGTTTCAGATCAACCAGCAACACATACAGGATGACCTAGAAGGAACAGAAACTAAATTCAAGGATGCCACTTCCATTCTTCTAGAGGTTCTGGAGTCTGGGATTCCTTTGAACTATAAACTCCGGCGGGGCCTGGGATACTGGCTTGTTCAGCCTGTGCGTTATCCTGGCACATGCAGGTGCTTAATAATATCTCTTCAATAATGAATAGTGGATTAGAATGTTGGCAGAGGAATAAATAGGAGGGATAAGACCAAGAAACTTTGGAAGGGAAATCTAATAGGACTTGGTGAATATGGAGAGAAAGGAGGTAGAAGCAGTTTTAGTTTCTGTTTTTGAAGAATGTTGGTGTCACTGACATAAATGGAAGTGTTTGGCTTCCATTTCCCTGCTTTACCTTCAAGAGAAAACACTATAGCTAAGCCAGGATGCTGTGTGGATAAATGGTCCAGGATTGGATTTATTCATTTTAGCAGACCTAGAGTGTATTTTGTAAAACTGAGTCCCTCTAGAGGCCTTGCAGGTGCTGTATGCCCTACAATGCCTTAGCTTCATTGCTGTTTCCACCTCAGTGCCTTTGCACTGGCTGTTTTCCTGTCTGGAACA